GAGGAGAGGAGAGGAGAGGAGAACAGAGCTTGACTCCTGAGCTTTAGTCTCCAGCTGCTCTGCTGCTCATCCAGGACTTCCTGCTGAAACACTTACAACCTTTAGACTTTATAAATATTTGTATTTTTTATTTGATCTGACATCGGAACTATTCAAATCGGGTCTGATCCAGATGACGTCACCACCACCTTATTATCCAGAGTTTGTGCGTAAAAGCGCATAAATGTTCGTGTTCTCAGAGAAAACTTCATTTCTCCTGAAAACCCAGAGGACCTTTCCTCCACCATGTCAGTCCAGGACCGCGGCTCCAGCCCCAGCTGTGTGGCCCACACGGACAGCACCAGTGTCAGCGTGCTCAGCTGGGAACAAGTGCAGCGGCTGGACTCCATCCTGACCGGGACCATCCCGATCCACGGCCGGGGGAACTTCCCCACGCTGGAGATGCAGCCGCGGCACATCGTCAAGGCGGTGCGGACCCGGATGGAGGAGAACCTGATCCACGTCCGGGACGTCCGGTTAAACGGCTCTGCTGCCAGCCACGTCCTGCACGAGGACAGCGGGCTGGGCTACAAGGACCTGGACCTGATCTTCTGTGCAGACCTGAAGGGACAAAACGAGTTCCAGACTGTGAAGAACATCGTGTTGGACTGTCTCTTGGACTTTCTACCTGACTGTGTGAAGAAAGAGAAAATAACCCCGCTGACGTTGAAGGTATTACACACCTGTTTTATTTATTTATTTATTTGTTTATTTATTTATTTATTTTCAAACTTAATCATTATTAATCAACTTTAAGTACAATAAGATTAGTTGGGTCATAGTGAAAGTGCTTTTAGTTCCTTTATGTGTTTAAGAGGATTGACACAAACTAATTAACAGGATCTCATCTTGTCTCAAACAGGTGATTAATATCTGTAGAATAAACAATTAAAAATAAACAAACWTTATTTTAAGGATCCATGATTAGTTGTAACATTAGACTTTATTTAATAAACATTTATTTTAACTGTAAAATAAAGACTGTAAAAATACTGTAGGATGTTTATGTAAAGTGAGGATGTAAAAAATGGCAGGTTGGCGTTCCTGGATTGTGATGTCTCGGTTTCAGATGGAGGACGGTTGGAAACTGGCGTGTATCGTAAGCCCACCCACACAGACCAATATTTGCGTTTTGACTCCCACC